AAGGTTTTCCTATTTCTTATATTCACTACAGAATATATAGAAATGATACATCTAGAATATGTATGTAATGTATGTCTTATATAGCTTGAAGTATTCTAGATTAGTGCTACCCAACAGACACATAATGTGAACCAGATATTTTTAAGTATCTAGGAGCAACATTTTTATAACTGTCTAAAACGAAAAAGTAAGCCTTTAATCATTTAGATTCCTAGCCTAATACACATCTTAAATATTATTTTAAATTATGATTTTAAAATGTAATCAATATAAAATGTATTAGAGATATTTAATGCTTCTTTTTTTTAATACTAAGTCTCAGAAACCCAGTGTATATTTCACACTTAACAGCATACCCCAATTCTAACTAAATACATTTCAAGTGCTGCACAGCCATCTGTGCCTACCATACTGGACCATGCGGATTGAGATGATGGATGTAACATCTACAGCATCATAGTAGTATCATGGGAAAAGACACTGGACTTGGAACCTAGAAACTTGGGCCCTATCAGCTGGGAGCTATGTGATTGACACTGATCATATAGGAGTTAACAGTTCTTCTAAAAGAAAAAACAAGTAGCCAAATAAATTTAAAATGATTTAAGGAGAAGTTTGGAGAAGGCAATGGCAGCCCACTCCAGTACTCTTGCCTGGAAAATCCCATGGATGGAGGAGCCTGGTAGGCTGCCGTCCATGGGGTCGCGAAGAGTCAGACACGACTGAGCGACTTCACTTTCACTTTTCACTTTCATGAACTGGAGAAGGAAATGGCAACCCACTCCAGCGTTCTTGCCTGGAGAATCCCAGGGATGGTGAAGCCTGGTGGGCTGCCATCTGTGGGGTCGCACAGAGTCGGACATGACTAAAGCGACTTAGCAGCAGCAGCAGCAAGGAAGAGTTTAAAACATAACCTGGAGAATAATTTACAGCATCACTAAATGTACTGTTCAAATTTACCAATTTTTATTGAGCATATAAAAAGATTAAGATGACTGGGTGGTTTCTCTGGTAAAAGTGAAAATATGAAAGTGTTAGTCACTCAATCATTTGGCACTCTTCGCAACCCCATGGACTGCAGCCTGCCAGGCTTCTCTATCGATGGGGTTCTCCAGGCAAGAATACTGGATTGGGTAGCCATTCCTTTTTCCAGATCATCTTACCTACCCAGGGATCAGAGTTGGGTCTCCCGCACTGCAGGCAGATTCTTTATCATCTGAGCCACCAGGGAGGAGCTTATAATTCAGCAAATAAAGTATTATAGTTTGAGTAAGAGGACTATGTCTTATTTAAATAATGACCCCCAGAACCTAAGCCAGGAGTGTTGGCATATGACAGGGTGCTCAACATATGGATGACTGAATGCAATACAAAAAAAGTAAAATACAATACCACAGATAGAAGAGTTATAAAAAAGGAAAACATCAATGTGGAAGCTAAAAGGAAGAGAGAGCACATCTATTTTTGGAGATTGGAAAGGGAAATAAGAAAAGCGATCAGAAAGGAGATAACATTTAAAATGTATTCTGAAAAGTAGGCTGGAGTTCGTAGGCAGGGAAAAAGAGGAGAAAGGGAACACAATGAGGAAGAGATTGCAGAAGGAAGAAACTAAAGCAGAGATAAGGGCAGGAGGAAATGCTGAGGCACAGTAAGATAAAGTTAGGTTACTATTTGAGTGACAGGTTAGTGCTTACATTGTGAAGAACTTGAATTATCAGCTGAGGAGTATATTAAGCATAGGCCTTTTGAAGTGTTTGAATAAAGAGCATTTCAGATTACAAAAATGTCAGAGGAGAAAGGGTCACAAGTATTGAGGGAGTACATAATTGGTTAGACCAGAGGTCAGTAAATATGTACTGTAAATGGCCAAATACAAAATATTTTTAGACTTTGGGGGACATATTGTCTCTATTACAACTATTTACTTTTACTACTAGAGCTGCAAAGTTATCACTGACTGTACAGGGATTGAACTTGTGTCTCCTGCATTGGAAGGTGAATTCTTAACCACTGGGCCACCAAGGAGCCAAGATATATAATACTAAATGTTAAATAAGTGAAGAATGAGAAATAACCTCTTCCCTAGGAGACGAAAGTGCCTTCAAATTCCTGAGTAGGGAAAATATTTTAGGAAGGCAATAATTTCACCAGATAGCCAGTGTCCACTATATAGGTTTTGTGTCAGGCACTGGAAACAAAAAGAGTTGGACACAACTTAGCGGCTGAGCAACAACCGGAAACACAGCAGTGAATCAGAGCAACAGAATACCTACTGCCTTAAAGGCTGTCAGGGCTTCTCAGGCGGCACAATAGTAAAAAACTCATCTGCCAATGCAGGAGATAAGTTCGGTCCCTGGGTTGGGAGGATCCCCTGGAGAAGGAAATGGTGACTCACTCCAGTATGCTTGCCTGGAGAATCCCGTGAACCGAGAAGCCTGGGCACAATAGATAACCTAGGTTTTCTGGTCAGTTTGTTCTCTCCCTGTAAGTCATACTTCATCCTAACACACGATCCTTCCCAAGCAGGTCTTGCAGGTTTGGTAACACCATCTCACTGCCCCACTATGCGCTGTGGTTTTCCTATACCTTGTCCATACTTCTATAAGTCCCTTGGGCTTCCCAGTTGATGCCAGTGGTAAAGAACCCACGTGCCAATGCAGGAGATGAAAGAGATGGGAGTTCAATTCTTGGGTTGGGAAGATCCCCTGGAGGGCGGCAGGCATGGTAACCCACTCCAGTTTTCTTGCCTGGTAAAGCCCACAGAGGAGCCTGACAGGATACAGTCCACAGGGTCACGACTAAAGCAACTTAGCACGCAAGCACTTAAAAGTAAGAATTCCTGATTCACTGTTTTTCTCTGTTTTTTGTTTTATCTTGGCTGCGCCAGATGGTTCTGAGATCTCAGTTCCCCAACCAGAGAAGGAATCCGGGCCATGGCAGTGAAAGCGCCAAATCCTAACTATTCGTTCACCAGGTAAGTCCCCAGATCCACAGTTAGCTTACAGATTTTTACGGTAATATTCTCTAAGCTTTTTCAAATTATACTGTCTATTGACTTTGGTAATGCTCCTCAATTTTCATTCTGGTGTGGGGAGTAGAAATCAGATCGGAAAGGCACTTGATTTTATTAATAAGAGTAGCAGTGGTTAGTTTGTATATCTGCAATTCACATGGCAACTACAGTCATACAGTCCTTGTGCCTACTCAGGAAGTAGTCAGAGGTTTAAGAGTTTAATTAGCCTTCCTGTCATTAAACTCACATGATAGACTATTTGAGGTGTCAGACATGAAATATGGTAGGCTACAAAGATGAAAAACATTAACAGAACTGTTGTTGATGAGCTATATTACAGTTTAATTTTAAAAAGAGCAATGTGAATGTTACATCAAAATAATATTTTAGAGATTATGACCACTTTGAGAACAAATACATAATTTGGAAATTTGGTAATATATAATACTTAAGTTTTTTTTATTTTTAAAGTCTACTAATAAGATAAACTGATGTACTATTATATACTTAGCTACATCCTAAGTACTTTACTTTTATAAACTTATTCAATCCTCGTAATGATTCCCATTGTATTTGCATTTTCTCCTTGTACAAACCCAGACAAATAAGAGATCCGACATGGACTCAAATCTGACAGTCTGGCTTCAGATTCTTAAGGTATAATATAATGTGAACTTAGGATGAAAAATCAAATATTTCAGATAATAATAATCTTTATGGTGTTTTTACAGTTATGTCAAATATGTTGAAAAAACACTAATAATCTTTTAAACTTATATTGCCTTATAGTAATAACATACTTAAATGGACATGATCTCATTCAAATAGACAGCTGAATTAGATTCAAATTCAATTTGATCAACTAGAACAATAGAATGCATCAGGTACAAATGCACAGTATTGCATTTAAACCTGAGAGAAACAGAAGAAAGAACAGATGGAGGGAGGTAAGGGAAAGGACTAATAGTTTCCAAGGGGCCAGTTGTGTGTGCATGTTCAGTCGTGTCTGACTCTTTACAACCCCATGGACTGTAGCCCTCCAGGCTCCTCTGTCCATGGAGTTTCCCAGGCAAGGATACTGGAGTGGGCTGCCATTTCCTGACCCAGGGATTGAACCTAAGTCTCTTACACCTCTTGCACTGACAGGCGGATTCTTTACCACTGTGCCACCTGGGAAGCCCATTATGTTTCAAGTACTTGCCTAGGTACACCTTTAGGTTAAGTACCATTATTTGAACAATGAAGAAACATTAAGTCCATGATGAAATTAATCCAAAATCAGGTAGCTTTGAGTGGCATAATAAGGAGTAGAATCCATCATGATCTGCCTCCAAAGGCTCCTTTCACTACTGTGTTGCATGGTTTAACAGCAGAAAATGGCGGGGGGGGGGGGGGGGGGGACATTCTAGTCTCTGTTTCAGTTGAAAACCTAACATAGGTCAAGAGTTTTAGGCAGCTACTAATATATTCTTAGGTTGTATTACTATAATTACAGACCCAATATATCAATAGAAGTGGTAAACATATACATTTATGTTCACATGACATTTTAGAGGAAACATGATAACCAATTTGTAATAATTGAAGAGCTATTAGGTAGAGTAACAGACATGAGACTTTGTTTCAAAGTAAGAAAATAATAAACAGATGTCAAAACTAGAATAGGTTGCCTTATGAGATGTTTAATGTTTTAAACTTAATGTTAATGATTTTACAGAGGCATTCATAAATAAGATAGGAGTTAGACAAGTAGTTTTATTCCAAGCCTCGACTTCAAATTTAGGGCAGTTTGACTTTCACATGTTACATGTGTATTTATTTTTCAGATTTTTTATTTTTGGGAGGGGTATGTTCTCATGGCGTAAAAAGAAAAAAATCTAAAACCACTGGACTGGATACATTGATTTTCTTCAACTTAATTATAGAATACAGGTTAAGAACATAAAATCATACCTTACTTGTCAAAACAAAAGCAAATCACACTTACCATTTTTTTCTGCAAAGGCAATTGCATCTTCTTTAGTACTGAAAGTCAGAACCAGGTTGGATAAGGGATCAGCCCTGTAAGAAACAATTTTTTCCCCAGGATTTAACATTAATCTGTGACTGAAAATTACTTATTTTGAATAATTTCTTTAAAACTGTTCACTATCTGAATATGTTTTTCTGTGTTAAATTACAGAGAAGGCAATGCCCACTCCAGTACTCTTGCCTGGAAAATCCCAGGGACGGCGGAGCCTGGTGGGCTGCCGTCTATGGGGTCGCACAGTCGGACACAACTGAAGTGACTTAGCAGCAGCAGCAGTGTTAAATTAGGGTGATTTTCTAACATGTCAAATTAAAAACTTTATAAAGACATCCAGCAATCTTTAGTCTCTAATAAAAATCATTTATTAAGCTTAAAAAAAAAAACAAAATGAATGAGAATCCTCTTAGGTTTGTTTTTATTCTTTAAACTTACCTTATAAAACCTAGAATCAAGCAGAAAAGATCTTCTATAATCAAAGGTATAAAGGAGGAACCACAATGAGACAGGAGGCAGAGACCCATACTAAGTTGGGCAACCCACAAACAGGAGGGTAAGTACAACTGCAGAAAGTCAGTTGCTTAGTCGTGTCTGACTCTTTGAGACCCCAGGGACTGTAGCCCACCAGGCTTCCCTGTCCATGGGATTCTGCAGGCAAGAATACTGGAGTGGGTTGCCATTTCTTTTCTCCAACAACTGCAGAGGTTATCCCCAAGAAGCAATATGTTCAAGCCCCACATTGAGCTCCCAAGTCCCCAAATCCTGGACTGGGAAGAGAAGCCCCCAGAATATTTGGCTTTAAAGGCCAATGGGGCTTAGTTTCAGGAGACCCAGAGGGCTGTGGGAAACAGAGACCATCTCTTAAAAGGCTCACAAAAAATCTCATGTACTTCAGGACCCAGAGCAGAAGCAGTAAGTTGAAGGAAGCATGGGTCAGATGCACCTTCTGATCTTTGAGAGTCTCCTGGAAAGGCAGGAGACAAGTGAAGCCCAGGGATGTAGAAAACTGGCAAGAGCCGTTTGGGGGAGCTCATTCCACCATGAGGTGCCATTTTGGAATCTACTCAATAGCTTCTAACCAGGTTATAAGCACCATTCCTGAGACATCTCAGGCTAAGCCATTAGCAGGATGGGAACACAGCTCTACCCACCAGAAGGCAGGCTGCCACAGAGAACCCAACTTACCTGCCAACACGCTAGCACTAGCCAAGACCCCGTGGGCCCTGGCTCTGCCAACCAGCTGAACAAAACCAGCTCTGAGACACTGCAGGCATCGCCAATCAGTGGGCCAACACAGGAGCTCAAGAACTACCAGGGTTCTGTAGGCAGAGGTCCCAGGATTTACCTCTGCCAAGCAGTGAACCATCACTAGGCCCAGAACTCCTTGGCCCTACCCACCAGTGGTTAGACACCAGCTCTAGAACATGCTAGTAAAGTAATGCTCAAAATTCTCCAAGCCAGGCTTCAGCAATACATGAACCGTAACTTCCAGATGTTCAAGCTGGTTTTAGAAAAGGGAGAGGAACCAGAGATTAAATTGCCAACATCTGCTGGATCATCAAAAAAGCAAGATAGTTCCAGAAAAACATCTATTTCTGCTTTATTGACTATGCCAAAGCCTTTGACTGTGTGGATCACAATAAACTGTGGGAAATTCTGAAAGAGATGGGAATACCAGACCACCTGACCTGCCTCTTGAGAAACCTATGTGCAGGTAAGGAAGCAACAGTTGGAACTGGACATGGAACAACAGACTGGTTCCAAATAGGAAAAGGAGTACGTCAAGGCTGTATATTGACACCCTGCTCATTTAACTTATATGCAGTGTACATCATGAGAAACGCTGGGCTGGAAGAAGCACAAGCTGGAATCAAGATTGCCAGAGAAATATCAATAACCTCAGATATGTAGATGACACCACCCTTATGGCAGAAAGTGAAGAGGAACTAAAAAGCCTTTTGATGAAAATGAAAGAGGAGAGTGAAAAAGTTGGCTTAAAGCTCAACATTCAGAAAACTAAGATCATGGCATCTGGTCCCATCACTTCATGGCAAATAGATGGAGAAACAGTGGAAACAGTGTCAAACTTTATTTTTTTGGGCTCCAAAATCACTGTAGATGGAAAGTTATATCACTGTAGGAAAGTTATAACCAACCTAGATAGCATATTAAAAAGCAGAGACATTACTTTGCCAACAAAGGTCCATCTAGTCAAGGCTATGGTTTTTCCAGCGGTCATGTATGGATGTAAGAGTTGGACTAAAAAGAAAGCTGAGTGCTGAAGAATTGATGCTTTTGAACTGTGGTGTTGGAGAAGACTCTTGAGAACCCCTTGGACTGCAAGGAGATCCAACCAGTCCATCTTAAAGGAGATCAGTCCTGCGTGTTCATTGGAAGGACTGATGCTGAAGCTGAAACTCTAATACTTTGGCCACCTCATGCGAAGAGTTGACTCACTGGAAAAGACCCTGATGCTGGGAGGGATTGGGGGCAGGAGGAGAAGGGGACGACAGAGGATGAGATGGTTGGATGACATCACCGACTCGATGGACATGAGTTTGAGTAAACTCTGGGAGTTTGTGATGGACACGGAGGCCTGGCGTGCTGCAGTTCATGGGGTCGCAAAGAGTCGTACACGACTGAGCAACTGAACTGAACTAGAACCCCTGGGCCCTGAAGCAAGAGGCCATGAGACTTGGATTCATGCAACAGTTGGGAGGGGTGGAAAGAATTAGCCTCAATATGTTCCAGAACCAGACCCTGTCCACCAACAGGTGGTCACCAATCCCAGGACCATTGCAGCCCCACAGCCTGCCTTATGAGCATCCAGCCAACACACCAGGAGGCTGACACCAGCACTTGTATTCAACATAGTACTGAAATTCCTAACTACAGCAATCAGACTGGAAGGAGGAATAAAATGAATTCAAACTGAAAAGGAAAAGCTGTCGCTGTTTGCAGATGACATGATACCATCTACAGAAGATCCTCAAGATACCACCAGAAAACTGTAACAGCTGAATCCGGTAAAGCTGCAAGATACAAAAATCTATTGCATTTGTATACACTAACAATGATTATCAAAATTTATAAACTCATCTAATCTCCTCTAATAAAAAATATAAAGAAGTTTTATTTTAAAAATAAGTGTCATTGAATTATTAACACTATTCACAGTATATTTTAAACTAATATCTATAGCTTAGGGACCATGTTAAGAGTGCTCACAATGTCAGCCATTTTAATCCAATAAATAGTACTCTGAAAAACACTGTTCTTATAGTATATTTTGCTGGGCCACATTTATATAAATATTATTATATATATATGTCACCTATGTGGAATGTGGATGTCTATACCATTAAACATAGTGATATCTATGCAAACTGTTTCAAAAAGTATTGTCATAAGGCATCCTGTATAAAAAAGAGCCTGATATTCAGTGCATTTAAAAGGAAAATCTACACAGAAAAAGAGCCAAAAATAATATTCAAATTAAACCAAAATACTCACGTTGATGCCCAACCCATCAAAGGATTTTCCCATCTCTCTCTGGTATTAAACTCCATCTTCCATTTCTTTGTGTTGTTTACTCCAGACTGCATGTTATTGCGAGCAGGAACAAAGATCCTAGCTTTTCTAGTTTTGATATGCTCTTCGGGAACACCAGTTAAAGTAGTAATATCCTACAGAAAAACAAGCAAATGTGTTGATAACAGCCCACTTACACCCTAATGTATTTTTGTTGCTTTCTGTATCTTACAATACATACTTATTTATAATTTTTTTTAAGATTTCACTTCTTTGTTACTTTACCGTGTAAACTACTATTTTGATATTTGGAGAAGATATATTGGGGGAATGTTAAAGTATAGTGGGAAAGGGCTCATAAAAAAATTTAGGCCCATTTTGTACAACAAGGTACTGGTAATTTTTGAAGCGTCTGCTGGCAGAAAAGCCTGTACTAAGTAGACTCTGATGTCATAAGCTGGTATAATTAGTTAGCAGAGAAAGAATGTAAAAGGATATTAAAAGTAAACAAATATAAAAAGTGACTAAATTTTAAATAGAAAAAAATATCTATTACCAGTGGTTTCTGTGTCATGCTGCTTACAAGGCATTCTCTTCAGAGAAAGGCCTGACCCTTTTTGTAAACAATTAAAATCAGTTAACAACTTTAATTACCATTTTGATTTATCTCCCCTTAATGAAACCTACTGAAGAGAAAATGATATCAAATAGGTGTCAAACTTATTCTGCAAAGATAAAAAATTCTGCACAATTTTTGCAGAAATGTTAGAGGAAAACAATAACTTGACTATCTTTTTCTGTATTTCTACCCAATAACAAAAGGTCAACTGATGAATACATACAATTTTGATTCCCTGATTAAATATATTTCAAACTATAGTAGCAACCAGGACACAAAATAACAAAGTAATTTAGAGTTTAAGTTTCCACTTAGTAATGGTAAAATACTTAATTCTAGCAATGTAAAATCATATTACGGTCAACTATATTATGCTCATAAAGCATTTTAACATTATGGTTCCTTACTAAGGTAAACTTTAAAAAACTGGTTAAAAACAACAGGTTTAACATGTAAATGATTATATCAAACTTGTGAAAACTAGAAAACTTAGCACATTTTGTTAATTTTAATTTCATATTTATTTGTAGTTCCACTCTAATCAATGCTTTAGACCCAAGAAATACTAGGAGTTCTTAGTTGCAATATGTACTGGGAAAAAACTAAACGTATTTCTGACTCAACTAATCTTTCTACACACAGATTAAAGAAACAATTCCTTAGTTATTTTAGCTGACAACTATATCTTCTCACCTATACCAATAATTAGGTGTGGTTACTTTGTCATAGTTCATCTGTTTGGAGAAACTATTAAAATGATCCATATAAATATATACACAAAAATGTACTTCTAGTATATGCCTACAACTAATACATAATTTTTAAAGGCATCAATATGTCAAGTTATTACAAACTGTCAAGTTCATCTTCAAAGAAAAGTAATTTCAGGTTATTATTACATTCAATAACTTTCTAAAGAATATTCCTCTACTCAAGAGCTTGAAAGAAACTCAGCTCCTGGAAAGTCCTTAATGTTTATTTCCCCCTTTGAATTCACTACAGTGTTGGTAATCTTTCACATTAACTTAGTATTTAATATTATATATTTTCATATTAAAAAATCTATTTAGTTATAGCTGAAGCAAAGTATAAATGAACAGTAAGTATATTACAAAATTACGGGATGAGGCATCCTTGTCAAATTCCATAGCAACACCTCCATTCTGAGCTGAGCTCATAAAAGCTGAAGCTATAAGTTGGCTATTCTTTTAATTAAGACTTACAGAAAAGACAGCATATTAATCTCTTAATACCAGTTCAGGAAACAGACTCACTTTTTCAATATCAGTTCAGGAAACAGACTTACTTTTTCTTAATAAATGTCGATATTGTATGCGTATGCCAAAGTAGTTTAAAAACCAATAAAACTTTAGTAAAATGGAAAGAGTATTTCTTGATTTGTACTATCAAAGCGGAAAGGCACAGCATGATTTTTTAAGGATGGAAAACCACTTTAAGATCAGTGGCTACAAAAGTTGCTAAGCTCCTAGCTGTAAGTGCTTCCATGCCTTCTCAAATTATGGCAATTGTTTGGTATCTTTTTCCAATAAAACTGGCATTCAAACAAATGAGTTTCTGAATTTTGAAGTCCAAGTTGTTCTGACATAGAATCCCTGCCTTTGCCTGCAGAAGACATGTAAGGTACTGGAGAGTTGAACTGCTGCCAAAGACAGAATAAAAAGGCTTGGCATCTCTCACATACTTGACACCTAAAGGGCACAGAAGCTCTAAAATTCCTAGTCCTTGTAGGCACACACTCAGTCTAGACAAACTGATTTCTCACACTTTTAAAACGCATCACAACACTCTATTGTTATCATTTCATCCACACAGCTTCAGCAAGTGACAGAAGAACATGTCCTTTAAGCGACATTTCAATGGGCTAAAGCTCTCATTCCAAGATTCCATTAAAACAATGTAATACTTGAAAAGAACTATGAGGCACTATGAACTTTTTGCGTGTCTTCAATGCTTTGCTTTTCCTCAAAGTTCTCACTGACCTATCTGTGACTCAACTTTTGAAAATAAATAAATGATCTGCAAACTACTGAAACTATACTGAACTAATGATACTCTTTAGATTTCTACTTTAATGATACTCTTTTTAGATTTCTACTTTTCTACTGCAGTATGGATCATATGTGATTATTTTTAAAAAACATAAAAGATGTCAATGTTGCCTTTCACAGATTTCTCATTTGATTGGTAAAATAGGTTATTTATAAATAATAATTCATAGATTTTCTATGTCTACAAAAAAGTTAAAACACGTAAGATAGGAGAAGGCTGCAAGTTGGCACCTGAAGAATCTCAAGACTCACCAGTTAGTATGTATAAATTCTAATAAAACAAGTAACCCTATACATAATATATACACTTACTGAATTTTAAAACTTTTTAATTTTTAACAATTGGATCAAGCATGACACCTTATATTATTAAACTAAGTATCTTCATAAAGTTTCATAAATACGAACTTGTATACAATATGCTATTTAAGAAATAGTAACTAGTTACCTAATCATGATTCATAGATTAAAGGGCGTTCATACTTAAAAATTTGCTACTGAAAACAAGCATATCATAATTTGAAAGTTCTACTCTTTCAGTACGATCTTTTTCACAATTTTAAATTCTATAAGAGCTGATACACTGACTTTCCATTTCACAAGTCTAGTTTAAATTGAAGATGGATTTTAAAAATCATTAAGAAAGTATATGCCAGTATATGTAAATGAACTTTACTCTTTCAAATACCAATTTCCATTATAAAATATTAGTTTTCCATATAAAAACTGTATGATTCGGTTATCAACTGTCCCCATTTATCTTGTGTGAATTCAACTTTTTTTAAACAAAGGAAGCAGGGAACAAGCAATGGGAAGTTGGTGTCAAAATGCAGAAAAACCTCCCAGCAAGCTTCTTGCAACCACCCAGGATTTAGAGTCTTGCTGGCCGCTCTCTTTTCAATACCAGAATTTCACACATTTCAATGACTATTATGACTTCAAAGAATCAAATTTTCATCATTGTCTGTCATCTGCCGGTTGATTTGTATAAAGGACTTCTTCTGCATGCACTCCAAACAAAAGCCTCCTTACTTTTGTGGCTATATATCAAGTTTAAAAGTTTTGTTTGTGACAGTTGTGTCTTTGGTAAATTAGGGTAACACTGAAGGAGTGCAGCTGCTCTGCAGGAACCTCCTTTTTGGCACCATTTCACTTAAATAAAAACTGAATAATTAGCTTCTGCCTTTATTAAACCACAAAAATGCCACTGGCCTTAGTAATTACTTCCGGTTGCCCCACCCACTTAACCTTAATACTTTACACCTGTCATAAAGAGAAATTAATGAAAAGGGCTTTCACCACTTTGGATGAATTTCTGATAGATCTCCCAGTACACACAGAAGAGTCAAATTTTTTAACAGGCTTTTTGGTAATAAGTTCACTAACACTGAATGTTATTTTTGGATCAATGTTGAAAAGTTTTAATACAGTACATATTGGAACATAAAGTACAAATACTGCTTACAGAAACTTGTTCTACTGTAGGCTATTAGAGACCAATTATGTGTTTAAATTTGGGGACTAAAATCCATCTAAATTTGATGATTCTGTTTATATCCTACTTCAACAATGAAAGATGTTAAAAGGAAAACAATCTTGGATCTATAATAAAAACTTCCTTTCAAGTATTCTACAGATACTTAATATAAGAAACTCATTAAGTGGTCTAATAAATAATGAAGGACACTATACTAAATAAATACTAGTTTGAAAAATAATAGATTTGGCAGATAGCATAACCATTATGTATTTTATTTATCATGGAAGAACTTGAAACACTTCTAAAAAGTTAGTGGCCATAGCGATTCAAGATACAATCAAAACTACAAATAAGAAGTGTGCCAGTAGAACCATTTTTGTTTGCTAAAGCAAGACATTGATGTAGGAGTCTAACCAGGTAATGAAACAAGCGTTGAAACATTATCATCCATTTTATCTTGCATATCGAGCAAAGCTATCATGAAACCAAACCTGGGCGGTGGCACTAGTGATAAAGAACTTGCCTACCAATGCAGGAGCCATAAGAAACACAGGTTCAATCCCTGGGTCAGGAAGATCCCCTGCAGAAGGAAGTGGCAACCCACTCCAGTGTTCTTGCCTGGAGAATCCCATGGACAGAGGAGCCTGCTAGGCTACAGTTCATGGGGTCGCAGAGTCAAACCTGACTGAAGAGACTTGGCACACATCAGGAAGCCAAAAGTTAAATTTTAAATGGGATGTTGTTATGATACTAACAATAGATCAAGCAAATGATATACCTACTCATATAATGAGTGAAAAAAAAAAATCCTAAGAATTAGACATTTATGTCTCATTCTCGAACTATTTTCATTACTCCTATATCCTGAGCTGGGTAAGGTACAGCAATGGCTGAAAGCAAAGGGCTGAGTCAAAACTGGGTTAGAATCCCAGCTTTTGTTGGGCAAATTAATAGATTTCTCCTAAAATATTATGTATAAGGATCAAC